CGCGGGGGCCTGGCCCGAGGCACCGGCCTGGCCGTGGCTCTGGTGCTCGGCCCCCCCGCGCCCCAGCCCAGAGGCCTCCCACTGCGGGGGGAGGAGCTGCCGCTCGCCCCGCGCCTCGCCTCCAGCACCTGCGAAGCCGTGGGCTCATTTTACAGTTTAATTTGAAAGGAAGTAGGGTGGTTGTATAAAGCACAAGGAGTCTTCTGCTCTTGTGTGCAAAAAAAACCCCAACTGTCTAAAGGTTTATTGGAGAGTGGCTGATTTCCTGCTGAAGACTGAAGCGAGAAGGTTGAGATTTGACCCATCTAAAACTCACCTAAAATTCATGAAAATAGTGACTTCCACTGGTCTCTTTACAGGCATGAGCAGGGTTTGTTCCAAAGCTAAGGTGCAGCTGAGAATCCCATTGTTTGCAGAATTAAATATATTAGTAACATGAATGACCGTCTTGATCTGACCTTCAGCTTTACATAACAGTTTCTTCCTCTTTCTATGACGCGTGTGCCTCAACAGGACCCATGTTTATTCTCCTGTCCCGAGAGTACACTTACCCACGTGAACACGGATCCGAGTTGCGGAGTTCCTTTCTCTGATGCAAGTTGTCAGTGTCAGCAGACATCAGCAGAAACTCTTTCCCTACCACAATTCTTTCAGCACCACAACCAGTACCCTCACCCCGACCACAAGAAGCATATGCACTTTACAGAACCGCTTAGGGTTTTTAAAAAATAATATACATATAGAGGAAATCATTAAAAAATAAGAAAAATAGACTGCTTCAAATAAAAATGTGTTGTGTTTGGCTGCCATCCAGGTTTCCCAGTTATTCCAAGTCTGACAGACCGAGATGCTGCATATACAGATCTCCAGCAGAAGCCAAGGGCTCAGCATCTGTGCTAGTCTGGTCTCCTACCTCCTGGATCAAAGAACAAATCCTCTCTCTAGGTCTCCTCTGCCTTTTTAACCTCACAAAATCTTCCCCTATGTTTTACTAGTTTCACACAACGCTCATGCCTCAGAATTGTGTAAATTGCAAATAATGCCATCCCCAACCAAGCATTAAATGAATGTAAGTGTAAAACCGCACCCAGAGTCCTCAAAAGAAATGCAGCGTTGATGGATGACTTCAGTTGCAAACACAGTTCTGATTGTGGATTTTTTAAATGTAAAACACTTGGTGGGTTGTTTTTTTTTTTTTAATTTAGAACAATAGAAATAAAACTAAGGCCATTTTCTTACATTACACCGTATTTTGGTGGTGTTTTTCTTCACAAAAAAAAGCCTATCAGGGTTAGGTACTGAAGGTTCCTTTTGTCTTATTCCATAATCTATTGCCACACAAACAGAGAAGCAATCAACTGTTCTGTACTATAATTGTTCTGCAGATTCATGGAGTCGAGGTCACCTCAAGAACCAAAATCCAAGGATACATTTCTATTCATTGGACATGCCTTTTCCTTTCCAGTCTTGCAGAACAGGGAATACCAGTCATTATTATAAACTGGTAGTAGTCTCAATGTGCTGTTCATTATAGCACTTCTGACACAAACACACACCTCTTCTTCACTTTTGACTGAAAAGAGGATGTTGAGAGTCACAGGTGCAAAACCACCAAAATATATCCAATTTATGTGTTTAATAATCAGTGGACCCTCTACCCCCTCTTCCTCACCACTATTTGACAAATTTCTAGCATGCAGTAAGTCAGAAGTGGCTATTACCTCACTGGGCTTTATTCAGAAAGCATTTTAAGATTTGCTGAAAGCTCTGTCTAAACTGGATCCTACCTTTGTTACAGCACCCCACACCACCTTCCCTAGTGACTTAATTATAGATGCTGGGCCATATGTCAACAGACTCTGATCAACCATTTTATCTAGCTCATCTGCTGAGAGAGTACTTTCTTTGGATAAGCCTGTATGGCCTGTTAGACTGTGATAAGACACCAGTACTTACCTTCCGTGCTGGGATGATCTCTCAGTGCACACTGACTTACACATTACATTGCTGTTCTGCAGCTCAGGATGGAAAGGTGGGGTGATTACCCCAGAGATCTCTGCACTGAGCTTTAACAATGAAGAATTAAGGGAAGTTAATCATGGGCCATGCAGCTAACTTCCTAAGAGGCTTAATTATAAATGTTGTGCAGTGTACAACTGCAAGAAGAGATGGGTGTTAGCTAGAGAATGTGTCTTCTGAAATTACTCGTGTGAAGGTAAGGTGAACCTGAAGAATCAAAGGATAAACATCTTCTGGAAAATCTAGAATATTCCAAATTAGGAAAGAACAAGAGAAAGTGGTTTGCTACAAACAACTGAATTGTTTCCAATTCTTAATTGACAACTGAACCGCACTTGAAAATTAAACATAACATTCATGTATCAGTAGATTTAAAAAATTGGTTATAGATGCATCTGCTTTCTCAAATGAAACTTCTCTTTCCATTTACATTTATCACCTAAAATATATTTGCCTAGTTATTATCCTTGGTGTATTTTTTCACGCTGCTCAGGCAGTCTGTTGAAAATTACTGATCATTTCCAGTGAGCTGAGTGCCTGTGGAAACTAGGAGTTGATGAGTGTCTTGATCTGGCATACAGTCAGGACCACAGCGATCTGAACAGCAGTTCGTCATGGGAAAGAAAGGGCATAAGAACATAAACAATGACAAATATGACCAATGACACAAAAAATGACAGAAAAAAACCCAGGGTAGGTGCAAATATAAAGGCACAGTGAGCCATGATTGCCAGTCAGAAAAACAGCTGAGTAGGAGTTCGCAGTTTAAGAAACCTCTGAAACTGCATACATTATGTTTAGATTAGATGGAGGAGAGTTTCATAACTAAATAACAAAGACTACTGCAATTATGATATGGGCAGGTCAACAGCATAACAAAAAATATGTTCTCACTGAAGGTAATGGGCAAAAATTCCCTTATACTTGATGGAATCACATTCATTAAAAAAATCACAAATTGTCATCTAAACAACTCTCCGTTACTGTGTTCTTGATTGTGGAAGGATGACTTTTTCTCCACTACCATGCATTAGAGGTTACTGGTGAAGGCAGCACCATTCAGGGTGTTATCTGATTTAGCTGGGAATGTTACCTGCACGTCCAGTGTGATTCACATGTTCTCTGCTATGCCCATACCCCTCCCATGCCAGGTGGCCTGGGATTGTTGCAAGCAGAAGATGAGGCGATACTCTCCTCCTTTGCTCCTCCTTGCCTCCTGACTACATCCCCCATACTGCTGGGGCACGCAGGGCTCTCCACATCACTTCAATCCTAAACACGAGACAGAAGTAGGAGTTAGTACTGTGCTATTTGGGGTTTAGATAGTGATTCTGCTGCTTGCTCCTGAGCCCACATTGTGGTTTCTCCTACAGCCTTATGAAACCCGTGTGAAGAGCCTGGTTGGCCTGGAGCTGCCTTTCCCCCAGGCTGGCAGCCCCGGGGGAGGGCAGGCAGAGCTTTCTGGAAGCCGCCTGCCCGGGGAAGCCTAGGTGAGGCCCGCGTCCGCCACCGGCGAAGGCAGAGCCATTCCCTGGGTAAGGGGCTTCCCCCCTGCTGGCAGCTGCCCTCGAGGCTCCCCAAACACACCTGATGGGTGACAAACATGAGTTCCCACTGGTTCACGGCCCTTCACGGCAACTTGCGGCCCATGGGGTCCCCTCAACTTTCACCAAGAGGCGCAGGGAATGGCTGCTGCCCCTTGGTGCCCTCACGGCCCCACAGCCGGCCGGGACCGCCGCCCCTCCGGCCAAGCCGGGCCGGCTCGGC